CATCATGCTGTTTTCTTGGACAGGAAGTGGTCATATCTGAATGACTAAAACTCAAACTGTCTTTTTATTTCATCCTCAGCACCAAGTTCAGCAGGAAACTTCAGTTCATCAGCAGCTTAAAGGAACTTTCTAACGTCATCCCCACTGAGCATGTTCAGATCCCAGACTGTGTCAAGCAGTGAGTGACATCATTACTTATTTGTTCAAAGCTGACAGATTAGACGTATGTTTTAAAACACATTTCCTTATAAATGAATTAAAAACAGGAACAACCTCAGCTGAACACAAGAAATATTGAGACATATTGATTTCCCCGCAGGTATGATGACAGCCTGTCCAGGTGAGACTCTAGGTGGCGCTGCAGAGTCACGTACGTGTTTCTCTGACATCCAGCAGGATCTTATGCACTGTGTCAGCATTTGGGCTTCCTGAGTGAATCGCCGGCACTTCAAGACTTCTAACTTTATTGACAGTTTGTGTGGTGAACAGTGTTAATGGGTCCAACATCTTTATGCTTTAAGTTTAAACTGAGGGCTGTTGCAGTATGAGCCAGGAAAGAACAAGTGTCCCCTCAGATACATGACTTCATTTGTGATTTTAACTGAAACATTTCCCACAGTTACAACCTGGTTTGTAGAACTTAAAATTAAGAGTATTAGGACAAAAGCACAATGATGTAAAATGAACAGCAGGTTCTGTGCGTCCTCAGAACGACACGCAAACATTCAAGTTTGATACAAAAAAGTGTTTGTGAGCCAGAACTGTCAGAGATTTCAACGGTGGATATTTTGAATCAAAGGGTTTTATTTTAGAAATGCGTTTTTAAGGTTTGTAACACATTTCCTCCAACTTTCAGTGTTTTCTGTCAGAGTTGAACCTTCAACCCTGTCTGCAGTCAGGGTTCGCCTTACAGTGAAATGTTCTGTGCTGCTAAATAAACTCCCAATAGTTCCACAATCTGGGCTTTGTGTTTGAACCTCCCGCTTCCTACTTTGCAAGATTCACACTTCAAAATGATGCTATTATAAATAATGTTATTATAGACATGGTGCTGATTCTCAGCTGCTGGGCTGTGATCCTGAAAACAGCGAATAGTGTGCACAGTCACTGAGAACGAGTCTGACTCACTGCTGGTGATGCAAACGGCTCGATATCCCAGAATCCTCTTCTGCTTTGTAACATCTGTCACATCCTCTTTATCGAGGATAAGTGGAACACCGATATAATTATAATGATAAACAACTGGATATAACTGGCTCACTTTCTGTGTGTTCATCACATGTTAGTTACCTGAATGTGTATAACACGAGGGATAATCTACAACTGCAACCCATCTGTTAGCAGAGCCTGATGTAAGGTATGTTTGCTGCTGAAGTAAATGTCTTTTGTAGTGTGTCACCACCCCACGCCTGATCCCGACTCCCCACCCAGGAAAAAAGAAAACCTGAGAGCCGCGCTGGTTTGTCTCGGTGACTCGCATCACTGAAACGGCAGAGTTTGTGTGGACACTTGAACACAGAGAGCATTTATAAAGAAAAGGAAAACATGTCTGTGGGTGTGTGACTGTTCTTGTTTCACTGCTTTATGGGGACACACAGTCACCTTGTGGGTTCTGGTCTGCCTGGGCCCAGAACCTTTAGGTCCCTGTAACGTAAATCATGACAGTTACAGTTAGTACTTCACTGAGATTTGCTCTGAAGTGATGGAAACATTGCTGTGTGTGTAAGTGGTCTGTATGAAACCAGCCGCTGGTCAGGAAATGAAGGCTGACAGGAAGGAAGTGAGGTCACTGCTGAGGAAACTCCATAAACAGGAACACAGAGCCGACTGTGTGCGAGTCTCAAGCCAACCGAAATGTGTTTTTCTGCTTTTTCTCCATCTGTCAAAGACTGAACACTCAAAAAGACTGTCAGCTGGGAGGACAGTAACAACAGATTTATTCAAACACAGTTTTAACACCTTATACTTGCTGTATGTTGTGCTTGTCACTGCACATAAATGAGACCATCCAGCCCTGAACAGCGGCGACGCAGCAGCGCATGCAGCGTACGACCCATTACACTTCACAGCTTAGTGCAATATTTAACACAAAGACAGAAGATAATTGGCTGCATTTTACAAATTAATCAGAATTCAAATCGATCTTTTCACCGCCCTCAGTGACTTCAGGGGAGCCACACATACAGACACATATGTCCACACTGGGTGAGCTGACAAAGTCAACGCTAGCAGCCAGGTGCTGATAATCAAATGATTATCAGATAATCACCGAGCTGCTGAGGGTGACGGAGCACAGATATGACAGACATGTCTCTGTTTAGATACATCTCTAACGATTTAACACAATTCAGCCAAGCTTTGACAGGAGAATGGTGGCTAAGCTGTCACCCCTGTTGGACAACATCTCCCAGCCCATGCAGGAGACTCTGACAGCACTGAGCAGCTGCTTCAGTGGCTGCTGCACCCACGGTGTGGGACGGAGAGATTTCACAGGTCTCCCCACGGCTGTCAGACTCCACAACAAAGACTTCAGCTGATCAAACACATCCACACATGTGCAATAACACTAAGTGCAATACTCTTTTCTGGCATCGTTGTATTATACTCATATTATATATAGCATTTGTATTCTATTTTATTTGATTGTCTATAGTATTTTATTCTATTCTATTGTGTACAGTCTTATTGACATCTTATTCCAGTGTTTTTCTCTAATTTGTCTATGCAACTGTCCACTGCTTTAACAATAATTTCCCACGTGTGGGACTAATAAAGGTTATCTTATCTTAAGATCGCGAGAGCTCTTCAAGAGAGTGTCTTCTAAATGAACAATGAACTGCGAGGACACACAGTCCCGATCAAAAGTGAGACAAAACAGCTTTTCTTGGAAACAACAAACAGGCTGTTTTACAGCTGATCAAAAAAGGACCCACAAACCCCAAAACAGAAATCAAAGTTCCGAACATTAGCTCAAGAAAGAGCAGCTCCAGCTTATTGTTGATCAGATATTCGCTTCAGCACTCTCGATGCAGCGTTTCCATGAGGCGAGGGGTTTGTCCATGAAGGGCATCGACCGTCTGGAAAAAGCTCGGGGAGCTTTTCCAAGGCTAAGAACTCTTACTGAGCCTCATAAATAATAAAAACACATTTTTGACTTCAGGTTTTTCACCCATGGCTGAATGAGGGGGGTTTATTATCACTATAATTGAAGAAGAACATGTCAAGAACTGATTTTCAACATAAAGGTAAAATTATTGCCAGAAGCATTTCTGCGATCCTACAAAATAAAAGCCTCTGTAGTCTCAATCTGTCTGTATAAACATGTGCTGCTCGTGACTGCAGATGGACACCGTTTTCCTTCAAAGCCACAAACACCCTGCTGTGGACGTTTGCTGCTGTATACCAGAGTTCAGATATAAAACACACAAACATAATAAAAGCGTTTCTGCGGCTCGGGGCAGGAACGTGGAGCCGGAGCTTTTCTGCGCTGTTTCTCTTTGAAAGCGTGGAACATTTATGACATCACACACGCGTTTCCCACACACGCTCAGCCTGTAACAAACCAGCTCTGACCGCCTCCGTGTTTCCACTCGTCCTGCTTCCTCCTCAGTGCTCGGCTGGCGTTTCCATAGAAACACCTAGTTTAACCATCATCATTATAGCTCTGCGGTCTGTGCACAGCTGCATGTAATAAAATGTGAACGCAGCCTGTGAACGGGGTCATACGTGTAGAAACACACGTCTGCCCTGACTCTCAGTGTTTCTCATTAGCCTGTGCACAGACTCACGCTTCACGAGAAAGCGATGCTGCGGCCTTCCTTAGACCTGTTTGAGCTCATTCATAGTTTCTGTCAGAGCACCTCTGGTCCCCATCAGTCCTGCACATTAAGCTACAGGAGCTGTTCCTGTGCTAACACTAGCCAGGCTGAGTCTGATTCGGTGAGCTCGGAGGAACGGCCCAGCCTGCGCGAGTGAGTTTATACACCTGTGCCTGAAAACACCTGCATTTAAAGATTAAGTGGTTTGGTCCAATGCTTTTGTCCATGTAGTGCATTTAAGACCTCAGTGCTGTTGGCCAACAGCGTGCTGGTGGAGACTGTGCTTGAAGAGAGGAACAACATCAGTAATCTAAATGTAGGCACTGCCACCGGGAGCGCTGCTGCGATGATGGAGAGCAGTTGGAAAGGAAGCAGGGCCAGGAGCAGTGGAGGTGGGTTCAAGCTGTGGGGCATCCTGATGTGAACAGTGTTGTGGGTGAAGAGAGCGTCAGACAGGATCATGCATTTGAAAGTGGACATTAAATCGGTGATGTTGTCAAAGTGTTTGCCCCACAGCTCAGAGGTCAGTTAGAGGAGAGAGAAGGAGTGTCCCAGTGGGAGAGGGTGCTGGGTGGTGCTGAGGAGAGGACTGCAGAAGGACAGGTGAGAGGGAGAAACACAGGGTCATGTACACAAGTGAGACATACACAGGTGCACTACAGCCACTGCAGTCTGTATGTATGGACACTGTAAGGTGCTGCTAGCAGAGAATGTGGCTACTCTGCAGGATGGTGCTGCGGAGAAAGACAACCACACATGTGATGGTTGCTCTGAGAGTGCTGACGGAGAAGGACAAAAGCAGCTTCGGTGTCTTCGTGGATCAGAGAAAGCAGACGATTGGCTGCCAGAGAGGAAGTCAGGAATGGCAGAGAGACAGTGGTGAGGTGTGAGTGACAGGTGGGTGGAGCCCCGTCCTGTCTGCAGCGGTGATGTGGACTGACCAACCCCTGACCTGAATTCAAACATTTGTAAGACATCCAGGCCTACGAGATGAAACCCCGTCTCCATGACGACAGCTGAACATGTTTGCTGTGATTTACTGGGAACAAAACGAAACTGAACCATCGACCCTCAAAGGCGTTCCCATCCACGTTTCAGTATTTTAGGACTGATCAAAGTGTTATGTTTGTACTACTCTTAGAATAAACTTCCACTCTTGTCACACTAAGCCACAAACACAGGTTTGGTGAGACAGATTTATTCAGCCATCATGAGACAAGCGTTACATAAGAAGAATAAAGGTGTTTTTGTGCCTCTGCAGGAGGAGCCGCTTACACAACACAAGACGCCACACAAACCTGATGATGATGATGTGACAAACTCAGGTTTTGTAAACACAAGGATGCAGCTGCTGCAGGTTTCATTAACGTGACTTTTCCTGCATGCAAAGTTAAAACCTTCCAGATCTTTGAACAAATATCCTCGTAAACCGAGCCAGGCTCACGAGTCTAATGTGTGATCCAGTTTATTACTCAGTGCACAGAAGAGTTCAACGTTTCACATCAGTCATCTGCACAGTAACGGACGCAGGAAGCAGCTTCGCTGCCGACTTCAGCTCGTTCCTCAGATCTCGCCGGGTGGGCAGACCATCATTGGACCAGCAGGAAGTGTCATGTTTCACGCTCACAGCTTTAAAACCAAAACCCCCACAGCTCGCTGACTGACAGTTTCCTCAGCCAATCAAACGTGAACACAGCTCAGAAGAAATCCATTAAAACCCTTCTGCCCAATCATTTGCATTCACTTTAATCCCAGCGCAGCTGCGGGGGGGCTGCTGATTGGCTGACATCAGAGTTTATCAGTGTCAGATGACAAACAGCTGCAAAAGGAAAAGTTAATCTGATGAAGACTGTGTGGTTTTGGACAGCGTTCCCACCGAGGCTCTTCCAGAGAAGCTCTGTGATCAGCACTCTCAGTGCAACAATCATATGCACCAATAGAATCAGCGTCTATCACAAAATAAAAGCATAGTGTGACACAAAAGCACTCTGTCTGTTTCCACCTGAAGGGAAAGGACTGTCGACAGGAAGAGGCTTCATTTCCCAGAATCCAAGAGCGAGAATGAGCCACAACGTCGACTCCAGCCTGGACGTCCTCGTCTCCACCTACACGCTTTGTAAAGTCACCGCAGTCGGGACGGTTTCTGACGTGGTCAGATTTTTGTAATCAAATCATTATCTGTGCACGACTCCCACATCCAAACAATCCCTCGTATGCTCCCGTCTCTTTAAGACAGCCCTCCCTAAATCCCACTGTTTTCTCATTGGTCAGTGTCTGGAAACCTGCAGTTAGTCGGTGGGCAGAGATGCGTTATAAAAGTAGAACGAGCTGTTGGAAGCTGAGCGTTCAGAGCAGCCTGAACATTTTCTCTCAGGAGGATTAAATACGTCTGATATGACACAAAAAAGGAAGAAGATGCGAGTTTCAACTAGTCTGGGAAAAAATCTCAGGCTGAACATCTTGATCTTAAGAAAACATCCTGATCTTCTTCAGGCCTCGGTGGAGGAGACGTTCAGGTTCCCAGCATGAGTCTAGAATGAGAGTAACAGTTTCTGGAGCTAAAATGATCCAAAACAACGATGCTCCACAGGAAAACAGTTTGTCCCGGGTGAAAGTGTTGGAATCAGAGACCTATCCTTCCTTTGTGTCCATTAAAACAGTCCCCGTGTCTTTGAACCAAAGTACAACACGTTCAGGTTTCAAGTCGAGTGTTGACACGGTCAGAGGCGTTCCTGAAGCTGGTTTAACGGCAGCGTTAATGCCGCATGTCTCAGTTTGTGAACACAAACGTTTTTCAGTGGGAAGCTGGAACGAGCCAAGTCAAATACAATAACTCCTCCCACGCTCTGCACAGTTCACCAATGCACCAGAAGCTCGGGCACTTACGTTCCCGTCGTCGCCATTGTCGATGTGGAGCAAGTGCCCAGCTGCCATGTCACTCTGTGGTTTCCGCGGTAACCAGTCAGACAGTTTTCCCTGACGAGTCAGTGCTGCTGTTAGAGCATCCGGGCACAGGATGGCGTTCATGAACGGCGCGACTCGAATAAACAGACCAATCAGATGTGGCTCACTGTCATGACTGTGCTGCGTTTGTGTGCGTGTTTGGAGAAACAATCAGTGCTGGCTCTTACTGGCAAACACATTTAATAACTGGATGTGAAACAGGACTGGCTGGTGCACACAGAGCTGGGAACAGCTGGACCAACCTGTACGTTAGTGTGATTTGCAAAAATAAATACAACGTGGACGAATCTTCAGCTGTGACAGAAGAGCTGCAGTGAAACTTACACGAAGCAGTTTTTATCAGCAGATGTTTCAAAAACTACAAAATGATCTTTTTCAAGACAACATTAAACACATTTGGTTTGTGAGCTGAGATCAACCTGAACATCTGGATAACAGCTGAGCAGATGTGAGACAGCCAATCAGGAACAGCAGAAGATTACACACGTTTAAAGCAGTAATAACTGTGACACCTTAGCTTACAACAGGCCTTTCAAGCAGTGCGCTAAAAACAGGGAGCTAAAATATCTCATCTGAAGCCCCGTTTGGGGTCCCTGAACCACAGTTTGAGTAACACAGTAATTGGATGAAGAATTTAAAAAGCGTTAAAAATAAAAACAAAGAACTTTCTGAATAATAATAATAATAATGATAATTTTTGGTGTTTTTCTAGTGGAGGTTTAGGACTGTGGGTCCAGTCCTGCATGTCTGGATTTCTATTGTTGTGAGGACCCTCCATGACACAACCTGAACAACAAATCTCAATCTGCAGGCATGTCCTCACATGATCCAACAATCACACAGGTCTCCACAAAGATAGACATGTAAGAGCACAAGCACACACAGTGCAGTCCAGTGTAGCAGGGATTCATGGGACTTTCCCGTCTCCTAAAAGCAAGAGTCCTTTAAAATTCAGCACCAGCAGCGTCCTGGGAGACGGCATCCAGTGATGTAATCACTTTGGACACGTGATCCCTGAACATACGCACGGTTCAGAATCTGCTGACGAAGCCCCAGAAGGTGTAATGATCCTTCAGGAGCTGAATACTAAACAACGGGCCATCCTCGAAATGAGGTCCAGTAAAAAACACTCCACAAAAAACGTCCACGTGAAATCTTAAATCGAACACTTTGGAGCCAGAAAACTTTTTCTTTCATAAATACAGACATCCTGTCATTTGTTTGATACTGAAAAAATTGAAATGGATGCTGGGAAATGGAGTCTAATGACGTTAATACTGACAGGGAAACCTGTAGTGACCAAAAATATTAGTTTTATTCTGGTTTCTTCAAAGGTGGGAACTGATTATCAGTCTTTGTGAGTAAAAAAAATCCACAGTTATATCTGGTCAGGCTAGTGCCTCCTGTAGGTGTTAGGGGTTCAGCGCTTTGCACAAGGGCACTTCAGTAGGGTGGAGGAGGGAGTCAAAGCACCTGGCTGGCAGTCAAGTGCTAGAGGCGAGGCTCAGTGTGGAGAAGAAAGAGTTCGGTCAGCTGGTCTGGGTCGATGTCATACACTCCTAGAAGATGAAAGACAGGAAACGTCAAACGGTGCTGACTAGTGTAAAAATGTGGCAGTCAGCGCCCCCTACAGGCAGAACATCCTTCAATCCAAAGGGTTCATCCTCTGGGGATCAGGATAAACATCTGTACACTTCCACAAACTCTAAACACGTGGAGGAACAGTGAACTGACCGATGCTGGAGGTGTGCTGCAGCATAAACAATTATGTAATAGTTACAGTTTATGGGCAAGTGCCCTCTACTGGTCAAATGAATGGTGACAAAGTGCGGGGGGGTGGTGACAGGGTCAGAGTGTGCAGGAGGGGTGTCAGGGTGGGTGGACGGAAACCGTCGGACCGGCTCAGCACCACAGCTGGTTTTTGTTTTTCTAAGGACATTACCGACAATACAAAAAACTGTAGTTCTGTTTCATCAGGTTGTGTTCTGCGATAAAGTGACCCATGGAGATCAAACAGGTGCAAGGTGCACACTCAGGTTTAACGGGAAGGCAGGGTTCATCGCTGCTTCGATCGCTAACAGGAAGCTCGGGCTCAACCACACTGAGCTAAGGCTGCCAGCTGTCTATTCTGTTTTTAACCTACTCAGGGTTACTTCCTGTTTCGTTATAGGTACAGAAGATCTGCATACCACGGTACAGGAAACCATACAGTCCTGGACCCGACTAAATAATCAGTCCTTTACTCATCTTTTCTAAAAAGTGATTTTTAACAGCGGCTGCTGGAACATCTTCGCCTGTGATGCTAAATGAGCTGAAATGAAAAGAGAAGCTGAGCTGGTTTACCGGCTATAACAGGCTGTTCCTGCCGTTCATGTTTGGGCCTTTGGACCTCATCTGCTCCTGGACCGACCCAGACTGTAAAACACAACAACACTTCTTTACATAGCACACTCACATGCATCAAACACAGAAGACAACAATCATGATGAACTAAAATGACACAGTCACACCTTCTTTATAACCAATAAATCCGTCAAAGGTTTAAACAGGTGTAACACTGAACTGTATGTGGGTGTTCTCATCTATAACACAGAGTATATATTAAAATGCTGTTGCTCCAAACTGTAGGGGTTTACACCAGTAGAGGCTGCTGGTTCAGTTCCAGTAGAGGCACAATCCCAGTCTGGGGTCGACGGGCGACCCGCGGTAAAACTCGAACACGCTACGGTTCAAGTTACGACTGAAGTGCGACAGCTTCCATCATACCTGTAACTGGTTTCTGTTCAGAGTGATGGTTTCACACACGTCATTGTTCTGCTCAGTATTTTACTTTGTTCTCAAACGTCCCTGTTGTTACTTACCCATTTTTTTATGCGCTGATTTGTGATGTGCACACACACACACACACACACACACAAACACACGGCTGCATGGTGAGTAAACAGGTAGACAGGATTGTTACTGACCGGCTGCAGGCCTTCTGCCATCTCTCCAGAGCCGATGTGTGTGAGGTGGATGAAGTTAGTCGGTTCTCCGATCATGCTGCGATCAATCTTCCTCCTCTTCTTCTTCTATGATCATATAGACACACATTAGAGTCTCTGATGTGTGTTTGTCCTTCATAAACAGCTGATCATGGAGCTCCACAGGAAACATTTTCACTGCTATGCAGATGACACCCTTACTCGTGTACTTGGCGAGCACGGACTCGCGATTTGTACAATTGGAACACCAGCGTACTTGATGTCACAGCTCTGGAGCCTCTTAATTTAACTGTGAGTAATATGTTATGAAACTTAATTTTAATCACAGCCAAACCGGTTTACTCAGGAACAAATAAAACACTGAAATAAACCCGGAATAACCGTGCCCCGAATCGAATCACTGAATCGATTTGAAATCCAAGAAAGAAACACCAGAATTAGAGATTCAGATGATTTGATAAACTGATTATTTGCACACACACACACACACACACACACACACACACACGCACACACACACAGGTGTGCACGCACACACACACACGCGTGCACGCACGCACACACACGCACGCACGCACGCACACACACGCACGCACACACACACACAGGTGTGCACGCACACACACACACACACGCACACACACACACAGGTGTGCACGCACACACACACACACACACAGGTGTGCACGCACACACACACACACACAGTCACCACACACACACACACACACACACACACAGGTGTGCACACGCACACACACACACACACACACACACAGGTGTGCACGCACACGCACACACACACACAGGTGTGCACGCACACACACACACGCAGGTGTGCACGCACGCACACGCAGGTGTGCACACACACACACACACACAGGTGTGCAGGCACACACACACACACACACACACAGGTGTGCACACGCACACACACACACACAGGTGTGCACGCACACACACACACGCAGGTGTGCACGCACGCACACACACGCAGGTGTGCACGCACGCACACGCAGGTGTGCACACACACACACACACACACACACAGGTGTAAACAGACGCGGGTCCCGCTCGGCCACGCTGCCCCCTCTGAACGTGAATCGTCGCCGCTCGGCTCGCGCGCCGCCTCCTCCGCGGGGGTGGCGGTCGTCATGGCAACGTCAGGAATAAAACAACTGCTTGGTTGACAAACTGGACGAGTCACGCTTGACTCAGCGGGAGGTTAAAATAACACCCGTCAATCATCCAATCAGTGCGAGGCGCACCGGGGTCCCTCCTACATCCTGCTCCACACCAGGGGACCCACATTCACTCCAGTACGTGCTGCTGCCATTAGAACAGAACAGCCCTTTATTAAATTGTCCGTTTTACAGGATTCTTGTATCTCCGTTGTTCAGGTTTCCTTTTGGTTTATAAAATAAAATAAATTACACACAGCAGTTTGTGCAATTCAGTTTTTTCCTTTGTCTTTTCATGTGTTTGTTACGTGGGCCTTCTGTGCGTGAGCAGCGACCAGCCATGTTTGCAGTGGTGTCTTTGGCGTCTCCCACAGACTTAAACACACGTCTGTGTTGTGTGTCTGTGCTCCTTCTGCAGGGTTGTAGGTACGTTGCATTTGTTTACAGGGTCACACATGTTTTTAATAAGATCCAAAGTCTGTGACAGAGATGTGAGTTTGCCTGTTTTAACTCCTGTCACATGACCTGACCTTCAAACAGCAGTGCAGACACGCTCACTTCAGTCCCAGACACCAGTGTGTGTCTCTGTGACAGTGTTGTGGTCTTTCCCTTGTGTGGAGGGCTCTCCTGCACACACCCTTCCTCTCTGCCTCAGGTTATTTCCATGACTCTAAAAACTTGTAATCAAAGCTTTTTCTTTATGTTTCTGAAACGTCAGAGATCCAATCAAAGTGCAGAAAATTGTAAATTTTTGTAGTAAATTGTAAATATTGTAAAACTTTTCTTCTGTCATTTAATGGTCGGGCATTGTACAGCTACAAGCATTTCACCCCCATGTCATACTGTGTATGGTTGTGTGTGTGTGACAAATAAAATTTGAATTTGAATTTGAATCTGAGCTGATGTAAGGTTTACAAACTGAGCACGCTCAGTGGCTTCACAGCTTCATTACGTAACCCTGAGACGCTGCCGAGCAAACAGCAGAAGAAGAAAACAAATCTCCTGGCAACGTCTGTGTTGAGCAGCTAAACACTACACCCACCCTCGTCATCGTCATCGTGTAATCAGTGAGTCAGAGCCGTCTGAGCTGGTGAAAGTCTGGAAGGATCATAGCCAGGATCAGCTCACAGACCTCCAACATGGCCGACATCATCCACTCGTCCTAAACAGGCCAAATGTAAAAGCTCCGCCCCAAAAAGACGAAAATGTAAAAACCTTAAAACAGGCGACGCGTTTGCTCGTTCGAGTGGAATTTACGCAGGACCTGATGGGTGAAATATGTGCAGTCAGCCTCAGACGTTACACAACATCTGTAGTGCTGACGACAAACTGAGCGTGCGCAGAAACAACCCCACTTCTCTTTGATTTAATGACGTCTACATTACTCACACCGTCACAACTTTATCACAAACAGCTGCACAAAGAGACGATGTGAAAATACGCACAATAACGATGAAATGTCCACCAAAACCTTCTATGATAAACTTTGTGCGGCTGGAGTTCAAACCTGCCCACTTTAACCTTACGCACACTTCCTGAGTGAAGTCAGCGCTGGCATCGGTGCGTCTCGCTGTGTTTATTAAAGGTGTATTGTTGCAGTGCCACAATGGAACAAACACAGAGCTAAAAATAGAGCCAGAGGAAGGAGGGAGGAGGAAGAGGAGGAGGCTCTCTGGGGAGAAAGGCCACAGCAGCACTTCCTCCCGTCACGGCAGCGTCGCTACCATCAGGAACCTTTTATTGGGTGTAACGTGGAGATCTGTGCTGATGTTTGCGTTCTGTTTATGTCACGTGAAGCAAAAAGAGAAGCGACGGCTGCAGAGGTCAGAGGTCACAGAGAAAAGGGAAGCTGTGCATATGTGTGTGTGGAGGCCACAGTAACTCTGAGGCCTCGTGGGGACATTTGTGGAAGAGCACACAAGCCCCGCCTTTACCTGTGCAGCGTCACGTTCAGGCACATAAACAACACCGATCACATAACTGTCCACTTCATTTACCTGCTAAGCATCAGCCATCGTTTTAGCTAGTCCAAGTTGGTAAATGGTAAATGGCCTGCATTTGTATAGCGCTTTTCTAGTCCATAGGACCCCAAAGCGCTTTACACTACATTCAGTCATTCACCCAGTCACACACACATTCACACACTGGTGATGGCAGCTACATTGTAGCCACAGCTGCCCTGGGGCGCACTGACAGAGGCGAGGCTGCCGGACAAAGGCGCCACCGGGCCCTCTGACCACCACCAGTAGGCAAACATGGGGTTAGTATCTTGCCCATTTGTATATTTGACATGCAGCCAGGAGGCAGCCTGGGATCGAACCACCGACCTTCTGATTAGTGGCTGACCTGCTCTGCCACCTGAGCTACAGCCACCCCGGTAGTTACCAGTTACCAGTTAACTTCAGCTTTGAAACATTGTATCCGCTAACATTAGCTAACATGATTAATTCTAATATTTGTACAAACTTAGAATCACATGCAGCATTTAAAGTTATCAAAAGACAGCACGTCTCACCGGCGGTGGTTTAGCTACCACGCAGCAGCCCATCTTGTGCCAGAAGTCGCTCATGCCGAGGCTCGGTCTGTCCAACGGCCGGACGCTGCTCTCTGCTGCTGCCCTGCAGGCCAGAGGAGGAACTACAGCCTGAGGGTAATCTTGGGGCATTCAGGCCAAAAACTTGATTGACGACAAAGCTCAGGTGCCTAAAACCCCCAAAATGCCGGCACAGGGTGGAGTCGGGATGTCCCCGATTAATTCAACGGCTCTTTAGCAGCTGAAGAAAAAAAAACAAAAACGTGTTTATTCTACAAATCTGGTGAAGAAAAAAAAAAAAAGGTCAAATCCAAAGTGTGGAGAGTTCAAAGCTGCACGTTCATGCACGATCTGTGGAGAGAGAAACGTTGATCTAATTAAATGACTACTATCATCATCACAGCTTTAACAGCTGGAAGTTCACAGTTTCCACCTTCACTTTACACCTAGCAACAAATTTATATCCAGCCTGCTTTATTTTGAAAATCCTATATGGATAGATTAAGTTAATAGAAACACCTGGACCGTGCTGGCTGTCAGACACCATCTGATTTATTTGTAGTTTTTAAAAAAATCTAAAAGTTTCACAAATATTGTCAGTTTGATTAAAACACAGTAACTAATCATGCTGAAAATACCCAAGAGTTGCACTTCAGTTATTAATGCTTACATAAAGGCTCTCCGAGCTCTGCAGGTTCAAACATGAACGGCTGACACTCTCAGCCAGCTTACAGCCTTCACATTTATTCTGCTGTGATTTCCTGTGAACTCTCACATGTCCTTACAGCAGCACCAATGCAGGGAAGCAACAGCAGATTTACACACAGCGATGAAATGACAGCGAGCCCAACATCTGAGACCCAAAAACCACAGAAAATTCCCCCAAACGTCCCCACATGGCAGGGAAACAGGAACGCAGTGAGACACCCAGCTACGTGGGAACCCTCAGAGACGTCAACAAGGCAAACACATCGAGCATGACTAAACACTGGGTGTGTCCAAACACACAGTTCTGCTGTGTGTGTGTGTGTTTCTGGGCGTTCTTCTCAAGCTGATCCTGAAACTTGACTCCAGCTGTTGATTAAATCACACAGTTCTGACCTTTGACCCCTCCGGTGGGACATTTAATAAGCGCTGCAGATCAGTGGAGACCGACGCTGAGGGAGCGCTCGTGCACTTTTATAATATATATTCTGACTTCTTACACACAGAACATGAAACAAATAAATGATTTCTACTTCATTTTTAGAGAATCTAGAAAAGTGTGGAAGCACTGTCAACACATCTATGCTGCAGCGAGCTCTGCGTGCTGGTTTTTAAGATTAATAAGACGTGTAAGCTCCTCCCACACCTTTCATGTGTGAGCTCATGAGCAGCACAGGCGTGAAACGCTGTTTTTACGTGGGCATGCGGCCCGATTCCACGCAGGACTGAATCGAGCGTCTGCTCTGGACTCGGTCCAGCACATTTCAGCAGACGATAAGGGAAGAATGTGGAGGCCAGGAACATGTAGCTTCACGCTCCACATCCACCCTGATCAGCAGCCAGGAATTCAGCCTGCGGCTCCGACTCCTGACGGAGGCCCAGAGAGGATGTCCTGCGCTCTGCTCTGTCAATCGAATCATCCTCTGTCACCTGACCTGCAGGATCAGAGCAATCACCTGAAGTTCAGCCTTCAGGTTGAACTCACTGTAATTCAGCTGTGAGCCGATGACCTGACGCGCTACATTTCCCTGTTAGGAGCTGCACTCAGACCTCTAGTAGGGCTGCCACGATTATGTCGTCTATTAAAATCGTCGTCGACTAATTTACGTCGTTTGAAGCTTTGTAAGATCCCAAAAGCCGCAGGAATAAGTAGCAGGATTTTTAAGAGTGCAATAACGGACTGAAACAGAAGATGGCAGCACTGCATGTACAAGGATGCCAGCTGCCGTTAAACCCCGAAGAAGAAGAAGAAGCTGTGTCCAAATTCAGGGGCTGCATCCTTTGAAGGCCTCATCTGTAGGCCGATTAAGTTACAGCGACACGGTAAAGACTGTCCAAATTCGAAGACTGCCCCATACGTGGCCAAAAAAATGCGTCCTTCATTTCCCCAGATTTGAAGGATGGGTCAGGTGTATACTTCGTGGCCCAACCTATCCCAGAATTCATAGCGCCCAGTTTCCAACAATGGCGGCAGCTAGTTAGTTTTAATATTACTCTTATTATTCTTTCTGGGTCACAAAATAAACGTTTAACATATGTTCAGGCGAGAATGTAGCTGTGTAAACCTCAAATATCTGCTCAGTTTATCAGGACACCGCATATTTTCAAAAGCGCTCCGACGTTTTCGGAGACGTCTGTTACCCACTAGCTCGTTAGCGAGCCGGGGGCTAGGCTCACTAGAGCCGTGAGAACAGCGGACTCCCGGCAAATCGTTTTCAAACCCACCGCCGTCTTTCGCTACTCAGGTTAAACATGATATATGAGTCACTTAGATAACTTAAAATGTTATTGTTTGGCTTTTTTCAGTGTTTTATTTGTTCCTGAGTAAATCGGTTTGGCTGAGATTAAAGTTATAGTTTTTACACAGCTGAATAAACCTCAAGCAGACAGCTGATTATCAGAAGTGTGAGATGCTGGAGAATTTACTCCGGTGTCCTGTTATATTTTAGATAGCAAGGAGTTTATTAAACTTCACCGAAACAATCTGCAAATTTCATTAAAATTGAATAAACTATCATCTTGTCTTTATTTTTAGTTAGCACAGACCTTACACACTTAAAGCTGCAAGCTAATGATAGTTATATAAGACCAGATGCTGCTGGTGCAATAAGCTGTACGTTTTACGTCCAATGGATGATGATCTGATTAGTCGACTAATCGCAAAAATAATCAGTGACTAGTCGACTATCAAAGTAATCGTTTGTGGCAGCCTTAACTCTGGATTGTTATGAGCTGGGAGAAAAACACAACTACAGCTGCTTTTTTTGTCACGTGTGACGTCTAAACACGTCGCTGAACCGAGGCGAACATTTGGGTTTCTGTCAATGAATGATGTGAAGTCGACAGCTTCATCCTGGGAAGTCTTATTCTTGTGCCTAAAATCAGAAGTCAGGCCTTTTCCTGCAGGAGTGATGTGAGCGGCGGAAAATGTGTAAACTGTGCGTTTGTGTTTGCTAGCAGGAGATCTGTCACGCCAACGCGAGGAGGAGGAACAGACTCTTCCTCCCTCGTCTGGCTGCAGGTGGTACGGGCCGGTCTGATTATAGGAAGTGAAACGAGTCTGTTTAACGAGTGTGCGAGGAAGTTTAAGGTGGAAGTGAACCAGAGATTTCATCTTTATCTGACATCAGGACAGTTTCATCTGTGAAAACACCAGAAACTAACCCGCAGACATCATGTGATTACCATCGTCGTCACAGCTGACCACCTGATCTGACCACCTGATGTGACATCAGCTGAGCGTTCATGAGCCAGGAGGCCGAATCAGCTGAAACAACAACAACAACAACGGCCCATTTGTCTGTGTGGGACGACGGCCTGCAGGTCACATGACTGCACTTTAGTCAGCTGACAGAGGAAGGCCTTTATTTAAACTCATCTGCTGAATGACCTCTGACCTTCATCAGCTTCTGCTTTTTCATCAGTAGAAGATTTTTTTAGACTTGTGTTTAGTTAATGTGACATTTTGACTGAACAATCTGCTGTAAACATCGTGCTGGACCTTTCTGCTTGAACTCCACAGAGAAGCTTCACAATCATCCCCCTGTTTCTGAACCTGCGTTTCAGCCTCTGAAACGAGCTCATTCAGCTCCTGTCTCTTTAAGATCTCCCTAGAGGCCCGTCTGATTGGCCATCTCCTGGAAGCTTGCTGAAGGGCAGCACCCAGAGCATGTGGCTGGAGCACATGCTCACTGTTTTCTGATAACGTACGATGACACAGAAAGGTGTGACATGCTGACATCACAACAGCGCTCAGCCTAACAGGGGTTATTTTCACACAGTAGACTCAGCATTGGACGCAAACCACAGCTAAACATACACGCTGGTCCTGAGCGAGTGTGGCTGACCCTGCCTGCAGTCTAACACTAACAGATGTTGGTCTTCTTTCTTTACCGTCATCCAGTCATTTCAGTCGTGCTTCTCCAACACGCTGACGACACACGACTCCATACTTCAGGTAAATTCTTAGATAACAGGCAGATTGAAGTGCTTTATTTTCTGCTTTCACTTCCTCCTTTCTAAACTGAGACACTGGCTTCCTGCTGATGCTTATCTCAGCTGATAAGAAGAAAAAACACGGTGCAGAGGAAGGTGACCATTTACACCGCTACGACAAAAACAGGGAAATAAATCAACGAGTCTGTTTGGAAACTAAAGTGAAAGTGATTCAGCACCACAAACACACCTGTGACACACCTGTGTGATCACGACAACATCACTCACACGTTTCAGTCCATGAAGAGCATAAAGGTGTCTGTAAGGTCAGAAAGCGCGCACACACACACACTGACACCTTTATGAAGTAATTGAGGGATTTTAAAGACACCTCTGTGCTGAACTGGGACCCAACAGAGTACCTTCAGTACTGCAGTAATATGGTCACATGTCCATCTACTCCTAATGAGCTGCTGATGGTTTGGAGACTCCTGCAAACTGAGCATGGCAACAGTCTAACCTAGTTAATGTAAAAGGCCGACTTCTCAGTTTCAGAGAAGACTCTTATACAGAGAGCAGCTCTGGTATTGACTCTGCAATAGTCGGCCTCATCACTGATGGGGACGACATGGAGTACAGAGGACTGACCCAAGACTGGTGCCAGCAGAACTACCTCCAGATCAACACTAATAAAACCAAGGAGCTGGTGGTAGACTTCCACAGGCACAAACATCCTCCACTGCAACCACTGAACATCCAAGGTATGGACATTGAGGCTGTGGACAGCTACAGGTACCTTGGTGTTCATCTGAACAACAAACTGGACTGGACTGATAATTCAGACGCCCTCTACAGGAAAGGGCAGAGGAGGCTGTACCTGCTGTGAAGACTCAGGTCGTTTGGAGTGAAGGGCCCACTCCTGAAGACCTTCTATGACTCTGTGGTGGCCTCAGCCATCTTTTATGGTGTGGTCTGCTGGGGCAGCAGCATCTCAGCCCGGGACAGGAAGAGACTGAACAGGCTGATCCACAGGATGCCCTCTGGACCCAGTGGAGGTGGTGAGTGACAGGAGAACGGTGGCTAAGCTGTCACCCCTGTTGGACAACATCTCCCACCCCATGCAGCAGACTGTGACAGCACTGAGCAGCTCCTTCAGTGGCTGCAGCACCCACGGTGTGGGATGGAGAGATTTCACAGGTCTTTCCTCCCCACGGCTGTCAGACTCCACAATAAAGACTCCAACAATCAAACATATCCACACATGTGCAATAACACTAAGTGCAATACTCTTTTCTGGCATCGTTGTATTTTTACTCAGTTATATATAGCATTTGTATTCTATTGTTATCCTATTGTATATTTTATTCTATTTTATTCTACTGTATATAGTATCTTATTCTGTACAGATGTGTACTGTATTTATTCTTATTGTATTCTAATTTTTGCCTCATAACTTTTGCACTGTTCACTTCCTGCTGTGACAAAACAAATTTCCCACGTGTGGGACTAATAAAGGTGATCTTATCTTCATCATCTGTATCGACGGCTGAGCTCAGCGATGATGCTGAGCGTCCTGACTCGTGCGCTGGAGTTCAGACAAACTGTTCAATTCTAATCCCACAGGTCACGTGAACAGATGCTCGCTCAGAGGAAAATGATGAGAGTAAGTGTGTATCATCGACATACGAACGGTGGGATGTATCATGATTCTTTCTGACAGTACTAATGCGAGGGTGTAAAGCTTTCACAGTAATGGGCCAGGACAAACCTGAGAAACCACAGAACTTTTTGTTAGTGCACATCTATGACTACTGCATGAAACATGAACACTTTGTCCCTATGATAAGAGCCAATCAGTCCTTATTACGAGGAGCTCAAAGGTTCATTCATCTGTTTGTAAAAACAGTTTTCAACTGTTTCACTGAGAAAAGAAGGATCACAGAGTCCGAATGGATCCAGGTGAATCCAGCACGTTTCAGACAAACAGACTAATAATAAAGCGTCTGCACTGATTTCATCACATAACCATGTTTTAATGAAACGCTGCTCGTTACTCCACATTCACGCTGACGACGTGTTGTTATGTAGATGATGAGATCTTCACAGTGACGAACTTTATTCTGAAATTGTTCCACAGTTTGTGTCACGTTAATCAATGAACCTGATTGGCTGGAGTTCTACTTTTCCAGCTTTTTGGTTTCCTGTCTCAAATTTTTGAGATCATCAAATTCAACACGAGCTCCTTTGCCTCTTGAAATAGTAAAAAGCAAAATCAAACCTTACACATTAAACATGAGTTTTCTGAGTTCTACTGTAAAGAAAACATATTTACGCAGCCAGCTCTGGTGGGGTTGTCTTACTTTGGACAAATAACACGTGT